AACATGTGGGCCCCAAGTGAAACAAAAATTTTAATTAAATTAGATTTCAAAATCAGATTGGAAGGCCTTTTTGATTGAAGAATCAGCCATGCACGGGAAGCAAGAAGGTAACAAATTTTAAAGGCTGTTAAACATAGGAGACTCCGCCCATTACAACTCTTGGAATCTGCAATTGTTCCTCCCTTGAAACCCGAACCATTCCCAAGCAAATTTTCGAGAATTTTGAGCTCCGAATAGTACTTTGTAGTTGGGGAAAAAGCTAAAAAAAAAATTAATTTAAGAATCTAAATAAACTTGAGAAAGAGAGTTTAGTATAGGCTAAAATTGAGATAGCATATGATCATATTATTTGATTTACGCATATGATAGGGATATACTTATAGGCCATATGTAGCTCGATTAGATTTTGAACTTAATGAATCTATTTTAATTTCAATTCACATAGGGATATAGTGCTTTGGTTAAAATAGATATTTTTATAAGATGAGTCGGGAGATCTTTCTAAATAATTTAAGACTCTAGGTTAGCAATTCAAAGCATTGAAATAAGTTAAGGAAGAGAGGTAAGATTTAGATGAAGTGTGAGGAATATTGTAATCCTAGGCTTGTTTAATTTGATATTTACTTGAGTATTTATTATTTTGATTTTTTTTAGTTTAAATTTTGGTTAAGTGTTTTTAGTTAATTAATTTGGTTATTGATATTGATTGTTTGGATAAGATTAATTTACTATAATTTTAGTACTTAGAAAACTTTTAGATCAATTTTCTGTGGGATCAATACTCTGCTTGTTAATATACTATCTATTCGATACGTATACTTGCGTAGTGAAATTTTAACTGACAATAAATGAGCTGGTAGTTGCCTTAGGTGCTGATTTTTTAATTTGGTTTTAAATGTTGGGATTAAATGCGGTTTAAACAATGGTCTGGTTTGCTCTAAGTATGATATAAATACTAGATTTGATGCAAGATAGGTAAGGCAATGATGAATTTAATTCTAGTTTATTGCTTAGTTTAACCATGGAGTTTGATTAATTGCATTAATATGTTTTGATTTAAAGGAGTAATGAAGGAAAATGTTGATAAAATAATTTTTACTAGCATTGTGGTCTATTATCAAGGACAAGTTGGTAGAAATTTGAAGGTAAGAAAATAAATTGAAATTGGAGTTTTGTTGTTATAATGCTTGCTGCCCAAAATGTGCAATAGTTTAGTACTAAGCCTAGTATTGAGAAATGTCCTTGTGCATGCCACTAGTGAATAATTGAGCTAGAACCCCAATTGTTCGAAGAAATCAGCAAAGCTCTAGTGATGATGATGAATTGAATTATGCTAAGTCCCTCAACAAAAATACAACGAGCTTAAGCTAAGGAAAATTGATTAGAATATTAGTAAGAAATCCCACCAATTGAGGTGAGTGGATAATTCCTTTTCCAACTATATATGGATTTTGAAATTTGTATTTATATATATATATATATATATATATATATATATATATACATACTTATGCTCACTATTTTGAATGAATATCGAATGCTTTGTGTATACTTCATATATTTGAATTGTTATTAGGAAGCATAAGCTGCTAGTTACTTAGTAATGGTTTTTAACTAGGTTATGAATCTATTTGGTGAGCATACTATATTATTGAGCTATTTTACAAAATGGGAAACAAGCCTTTCAAAATGATGAGATTTTATTTTGTTTTGATTATTCAAAGCTATTGTGGATTACACTTTCATTTAAAGGCCTTGATGGCAATTTTCATGATGCTTGAGTGAAATATTTTAACTATGCCATGCTCATTGATTTTCATACATGAACTTGCTAATTTATTGTTCACTGATTTTATGTTGCTCAAGGCTTTCATTATTGAAACGTACATACATGCCTATTGAGCTTATGATTGATATTGATTTGACTTATTTGAAATTCCATTGGTTTATTTTCTTGGGTGAACCTTATGGGTATAGGTCCTGTTACCACACCAAATTTATATGGTCTTTGTGCACAAAATAGTGATTATTGATAATTGATAATAAAAAAGGACTTGAAGCCCTGACTTATATTTCCTAAAGTGGGGGAATTTTCATGAGTAGGTTAAAAGGGACTTGAAGCCCTAACTCATATTTGGTGACGTGGGGAGTTCCCAAGAATAGGTGTTAATGTTATTAAGATGAGAGAGAGAGCCTGCAGGTTATATTAAACCTACTCGAGGAAACCCTAATTGATATGTTTTTACAAATTGAGTATGTCACTACTATTATACTTGTTTTGAGAAAACCATGGTCGTGATTTATTTGTTTACGTTACATACTGAAAATTTACTATACTTAAAATTGTTGTAATTAATTGTTTTATAATGAGCATGAAACTTACGCAATACCTTGATGATCTGATTTTAAGATTTAAACTCAAGCATCTTATACTGATTTGCACATGATTTGTTAACACTGTGCACAATTTATCTTCTCATACATACATACATATATATATATATATATATAATGTTTTTATCAAAAGCTCCACCTTAATGCTTGCTTCCCTTCCTGACTATTCATTGAGTTATGAAAGAGTCACCCCAATTAATTGTTGCCTATGGTAGCTAAGTAATTGCACTGGAAGTAGCCACAATTAGAGGATTCCAACTTCCTACGTAAGTAATAACATCTAGTAGCCTTCCCTCACGTCACTCTGCTGTCCAGTGTTTAGCTGTCATTTGTTTTTTTTTTTTAAAAGAAGTATTGTATTTTTAAGCCTGTTTTAGGCCTAGGCCTATGGACATTGCTAAGTTAATTATATAATGGTTCAAAAAACTTATTATTTAAAACGTGTTATATAAATATTTGAAATTTTCTATTATGAGTTTTTATGTATGTTTAGAAATTAAATTTACTGTTTTCATTCTATTATTGTTATAAGGGATGTTGAAGAATGGATTGGAATAAAGAAGTTGGAAATTTACGAGAGAGTTTGTTGCTAAGGTAAATATATCTAGAAGGCTTGCCGAGTTGTGTTGGCTTGCCTACATGATTTGTGCACCGGTCATGGCCATAGGCGTAGGTCATTACAATAATCATCCTGACAATGACACAAGTTGCACTTTTTGCAAAAACTATGGAATCCCTTACAACAAATATTGCAGAAAGGGATGATCAAATTGCTTTCAAGATGAAGAAAATTGAAAGTCTAAATAAAACAACCAAGTTGCTCCAAACCAAAACAAGCACCAAATTCTTCAAGAATCTAGTGAAAATTCCTCCAAGACACTTGTAGAAGATCTTTAAAGACCAACTCAAAAAGTTTCTTTTGACCAACTCAAGGAATTAATCAAGGACCACATTGATAGTTTCACTCAAGCTTCTTACACTTATGCAAAACCACAATCTTAAAGGATTGATTGTATGAAGATGCTTGAAGATTATCAACCTTCAAAGTTTTAAGACTTTGATGGTAAAGGAAACCTTCACCAACATGTTGCAAACTTTGTGGAAACTTACAACAATGTTGTTACGCATGGAGATCTTATGGTAAAGCAATTTGTTCAATCTCTACAAGGCAATGTTTTTGACTAGTACATTGATCTTGAGCCTAGGACAATTGACAACTGGAATCAATTGGAGCGTGAATTCCTCAATCGCTTTTTCAATAGTTTTTGCATAATTAGCTTGTTTGAACTTACAACTTCACGCCAGTAAAAAGAAGAACATGTGATTAACTATTTCTACAGGTGGAGAAATTTGAGTTTCAACTATAAATTGCGATTGCTTGAATCATCTATCCTTGATATGTGCATCCAGTAGATGAATTAGGGTTTATGCTACATTCTTCAAGGCATTAAGCCTAAGACCTTTGACTACTCGTGCGCATGACATGAATTTAAGCATACCAGCTGCTAGAAATCAAGAACCCAAGACAATTGCAAAGGAGGCAAAACTTTGATAAGTGTGAAAGCAAATAATCCACTACTGAGAACACCAAGCCTCTCAAGATGTCCACAACTCTAAAGAAATCTCGAGAAGCAAAACTTCTTTTGATCTTCTCAAAATTAAGGTAAAAATATATAGGACCTCTTTGAGAGAAAGAATGGAGAAGCAATATCACTTCCTTGAATCATTCAGTTATCATAAACGGACTAATTTGAAGATGTTGATCGAGTGAATGACCCTAGCTATTATAACTACCATAGCTTGATTAACCTCCCTGCTGAAAATGTTTTATTTTGAAAGATTAAATCATGGAGCTTTATAAGGACAGAAAAATTGAGTTTGAACGAAGAAACTGCACCATCAAACGTGGCATCTGTAAGAAGTATGGTTTCTCAACCTAACGTATTAATTACAACCATAAATTTAAATTTGGACCCCATCATGCTAACAGAGAATGCAAGTAATAACAATATTTGAAAATTGGAGAGAGGCTATACTGCATGTGAAATGTAACTTATTTAAGTGCTGTAGTCGTGAATTGGCATACATAAATAACATTTATTGATTTGGCTATTTTCGTGAACTTATATAAATATGCTTGCCCGGGTTTTTGGGACATAATTATCTCCCATTTCACTGTACCAGAAGCCGGGACATAGATTTCAGGCTCATTTTGCCATTCTTCCAAGCTTATGTCTACTTCAGTATAAGCACTGACTGACATTTTGTTTGAATCTTTTGGCAGGTAAGCAATGTTAGAAAATCTCAATTGTCTGGGCGGGGGTGCCAATAACCAAGATTGCCTCTGTTGCTATGGCTGGACCACCCATAAAAGTAAAACGTGATGTGTAAATCATTTTCAACTGTTGAGTAGTTTACTAGGTGCTACCATCACTAAAACACCATAATGAGCAGGGAAACTACACATCATTTGCTTTTCTTGACAGGAAATCTCAGCATTGCCCTTTTGATTCTGGGAGGTGATTGGTAAAAAGAGACACTCATCTGTCACTTTGCCCTTACATCACATGAAAGGTTTAGATTTCAATTTTCCAACTCAGAGACGAGGTGAAATATTCCCTCTTGCAAAATTTGGACTACATGACAAAAGTTCCAAGGACACAGCCCACCAAATAATGCTTGCTACTATAACATTTTATGAATCCTACCATACATCATTCAATTTACTCCTCAAAAAACTCTGAATCACTCTACTGATTCAAGACAGAAATCTTCATCTCCTCCATGGCTGCAGCCCCCAGATCAAGAAGTTCAACTTTCACTCCCTCGGAGCAATGGCTTCTAATGACAGCTACTATTTTGGTTTGTGGGTTCTTGGGATATGTGGTTTATGATGCAATAATGGCCACAGCATCTGAGTTGCTGCAGCGTTTACTGGTAATCTCGCCTTTGCTTCTGGTTGTTGTGGTTCACTGGCTGTCTACAGGGAGTACTCTTAACTTCCCTATGCCAGGGTCAGAGCCTGGTGCCATCCATCGAGCTGGTGGCTCACCATGGGGTGTGGCCTCTGTGTTGCTGCTTCTTTTCTTCCTCATATGTTATCAGCCTTCCTTCCATGACCTTATCTTTTAGTCCATGTATTACTAATCATGCTTAGAAATATGTAGTAGTTTTTCGAGTTTGGAAAGTAATGGAGTTCTGCTTAGACCGGTTTAAGTTAAGTCACTGTTAATCTTCTGTGGAAAATGAAGTTCGGATAGAATTAATCAGCTACAATGTCTGACCTTTGCTCTGTAAATTGTAATGTCGGCATGCTTAATGTTATGAAGTAACTTGAATGCTTTGTATGAATTAAACTCTATTCCTGCTTCGCACTTTGCCGCATCTTTTCATGTGTATGAATAGTGATGAGGGGTACATCTCCATACTCCATCACGGTTGGAGCAAGAAAGTGCAGAATCCTTTTGGGGCATGCTAATTCTTTTAGTTTCCAGGCCCTATCTGCAAAGAAAAGAAGAATGATTTACTCCCTGTTAGAAGGAAATGATTAATTAACAATCTGGCTTTTGAGCTTGCAATGATTGTGGTAACATTCTTCAATTATTGGAAGATTTAGATAATTTGGGGTTACTTGACAACTCAAGATTCCCATTAGTTTATTTTCTGCTGCCTCCAAACTTTGCATAAAACTTTATCTTTTTTTCTTTCACAAAGTATAATTTGTAGCTTTTCTCAACGGATTGTACGTAGTAACTGTAATATCCACGAATCTAAGCTAAAACTGGATCATATTCCTCATGTTAATCAAGCTCAATGACAATGAGCAGACTTTAAATATGGCTGTCCAACTATATATTCTCAGTTGGCTTTTGAGTAGCTAGTGGAAATTTCAGTCAAAAGGTAATGTAGCTAGGCGCTCAGTGGTGAGGGCAAGGACCATTTCCTTCACTAGCTAAACCTAAGCCATTCTGGTTTCTTAACCCCTTTGCAGCCACAGAGCAAAGGCTATGGATCCAGGGATGATGCCGACTTAAGGACAAAATAAATTCTCAATATATAATGTTTTGGATGTTATTTCCACAGTCAAAATGATTTGGTATTCATATTCAAAACATGGTAGGCCTTACCATATATCTATAATTAAAGAGGATGGTAAAAAGAACCTAACTACTTTGATTGAGAAAGTTGGAGCACCTTTTATTTATTTATTACAACTTTTAGTTTAATTGGAGCTGAGTTTGAGGATATTATACTTTCATTGGGTTTGAATACCACAAAGCTAAATTCATTAAAGTAAAATTTGGAAGCATTTTTAGGTTCTTTTCATAAATTTTTCTTATAACTTTAATAACCTTTGAAATTGTGTTAAAGAAAAAAAGGAACAATGATTTTAATTTTGGAAAATATGCTTAATTTTATCTACCTCAATGAGATGATGTGATGCTAGCTATTTTGTCAAATTCATTTTGAGGGGAGGTAGAGTGATGGTCACTTCTCAAAAGTTCATATTTAGGATTGTAGGATAAGGACCATTGACTTTATAAGTTTTGAATTTAAGCACTGCCCCTACAACCAAGGCTGAGCTAGGTTTGCTTTAATAGCAAATTTAAATAAGGTTTATATTTTTATCGTCTAATGATAGATGTGTAATCCAGCTAAGTCAAGTGATCTATACAAGGATGTTAATATATACTTTATAAGTCAATATTTTGTACTATCTAACCTGATCAAGTAAAATTAAGATATTTTATAATTGAATTTGGATAGTAAAAATATTATTTGTCATAGGTTTGGGTAGGGTTTAGATAGTAGTCTTAGAATACTCACTTAAATAATAGTTTTTACTATCAAATTTTAGTTTTTTTTTTTGATAAAGTCGTTATAATTAGTGTACTACTTACTAAATTTTATTAACTATTATAAATATAATTTTAAACTTTAATTTATATTTTTTGTGAACTAACTTTAAGTTATTCATTCAATTTTCATTAATAATATACATAAAAATGATTTTTAAATTTTTTTTATTGAGTATTTAACCAGTAGATTTTAAGATATTTGGGTAACAATTCAAAATTTTAATATAATATTTATAAGGTTTGAGTACCTTACCAAGTAGTACAAATCCGAGTTAGAGTACCTAAAAAATAGTGGATACTCTATTCGTTGAAATCTTTAATCTATATAGTAAAAAAAAAATGTGAATTTAAACTCCCTGTTAAATAAATGGGGACGTATGAATTTAATAAACATTAGGCCCTTGATCTATTACTTTGCCTATTATCTAAGAAAATATTACATCCTACGACATCTACCTCATATTACAATGTTAATTCTGAAATTTTGGTCGTTCCACTAACTAGTGAACGAAATTATTTAAAAATTAAATAAACTATAATAAAAAATATAATTTTAAGGATATTTATATCTTTTCAAATTTTTTTAAAAAAGCAACACTATCCACTTCTTTAAAAATTCTAAGAAACTTTCAATTCATGTTTCAATCACACAAATGAAAAGAAAAAATTTATTACCGTGGCGGACATGCATGCACCATATTTAGCAATTTTACTTATCTCAAAATTATGGAAAAACTCAATAGATTATTTTATCCATTGATACATTGCATATGCAAATAATTAACATTCGACATAGATGTTAATTGTATGTGCAAATTAAAAATAAAAAAGAAGCATTTAACATGAGAAAATATAAAATTGAATTTAATCTTCAATAGATGCATAAAAGAAATTAACAATAAACTTCACATGAGAAATAGTCAAATTTATAAAAGCCAAACTTTGAAGCATGTGTTTTGTCTAAAAAGATAAAGATAAACCCGTTTTATGCTAAAAGGATGACAAATTCTTATTTAGAGGAAACGTTGTGTGTTATGTCTAAAAAAAAGTAAAAAAAAAATAATACTCAATAATTTTTTTGAATTATTTTAAAATATTTAATAAGTTTTTATTCTTTTATTGTGTTCAATTAAATTTTCATGTTTTTTGTTAGAACACTGAACAAAAATATCAAAATGGCTTCAAGGTGTGTAACAATGCCATTGTTCTTAAAGCTTTATTTGCTCACACTTATAGTGTGAAAAGGAATTACTGGTATATAAACTTCAAAAAGATAATAAAACCCAGTGATTGATTGCATTTTGCATTGATGAAATCAATCCATTGAGCATCCACCAGAATATAACAAGATTACCTAGCTTCTATAAGATTTCTCTATAGCAAAATGGTATAAAAGAAATTTCGAGAATATTGAGAAATGAAGGAGAAATGGTAAAGAAGGTCTATTTATAAGCCTAAATGACTGTTCCAATAAAGTCAATTATATCTATTTCAAGATGACACAGCTATCTATTTCCAACAACCATAATTGTTGGTTTTTCAATGGACATGATTGTTTGTTTTTTCAATATAATTATTTAAACAAACATAATATTTGAACAATCATAATTGTTCAAAGGACTTTCTTCTTTTAATTCTTCCATTATTATTGTTGAAAATGTCCAAAAATCCCCCACCAATTTAAAAATAATCCAAATTTTTTTGTAATCTTAGAAATCAATTGCATAAATGAAGGTGTCTCCTGATTCAATCTTTACTTAGTGAAAATATGTTACAGTTAACCAAAATTGCATGGTAGACTATGCTTTTAACTAGTTATTCCATTTGGTTAACCAAACACATATCACACAATGATTTCAACACCAATAAATGTATAGTATCCGATGACAAATTTATGGTTATGTGTCTACATCCTATTTTTATGAATGTTGTTAGAGCCAAGCCCTTGAGCTCCTAGAAGCAGTTACACTTTACTCTCATATAAGTAGATTCCATCAAGAATACCCTTATAACTAAAGCATTCTAACAAATTTATCTTATGGGTTTATTAAGAGTATATAACTCATTCTTTCTTTACCATTATGGGTACCTAGCATTTTACTTGAGATGGAATATAAGATATCATATTATAGTGCTAGTAGTCAAATATAGATGGTGTACTTTATCTCATTGAACTCAAGACTTGAAGTTACACCAAGCGTTGAGTCAAGTTTCCACCATGGGTGACTTTCAATTTATTAACTTGAGCCCCATCCCATTTGAAGATTTTATTTACATGATCTATAACAAGACATTTAGTTAAAGGATCTATCAAATTATCATTTGACCTCACAAAAGTTATAGTGATCTCTCCATCTGAAATTAATTATCGTATATAGCTATATTTTAATCTAATATATCTAAACTGTCCATTATACACTTGGCTATATGCTCCTGCTAAAATTACTTCACTATCACAACAGATAGAAGTTGGAAAATTTGGTTTAAGCAACAAAGTTACACCGAAGAGTAAATATCTTAGCCATTTGATTTCTTTGGTGGTAGCAACTAATGAATGAATTTGGTTACCATTGTGGAATCGCTTATACAAAATGGCACCCCCACCAAGCATAAAGAGTCATTTGTTTGTAGAAGCATGATCTTCCAAACTTGTAATCCAACTAGCATTTGAATATCTTTTTAGTATTGATGGATATCCATTATAAAAAGGACCATAATTGATTATCTTCTTTAAGTACCTAAGTACTTTATTTATTGCTTGCAAATGAAGTTACTTGGATTACTTGTGTACTGACGTAATTCCCCAATAACAAATGCCATTTTTGGCTTTGTACACGTCATTGCATATGTTAGGCATCAAATTACTTTTCCATATTCTACTTGTGCTGTTGGCTTATCTTTATTGGATAGCAGCCTTAGATTATAATTATAAGACATCAATATTGGCATATAATCTGACTTACCATACTTCATTACAATCTTTTGAATGTAATGAGATTGAGACAATGTTAGGCTATTATTATTTTTCATTATTCTAATACTAAGAATAACATCCACTATACCCATGTCTTTCATGTCAAAATTCTTTAACAAGAACATTTTTGTGTCTTCCACTTGTTCCTAGTCGGTACCAAATATTAACATATCATCCACATATTGGCAAATGATGACACTTTTACTATTATGGAACTTACTATACACACTTGCAAGATTGATTTATCTTCTAGCCATTAGTTGGCACAACCTTATCAAATTTTGATGCTATTGTTCAGGTGTTTTTTCAAATCCATATAAGGACTTTACAAGCCTACATGCATTCCTTTCTTTGTCAACTGACACCATTGTACCTTAATGCACAACTGGAATGTCAACTTAACACATCAAGGTATATGTTCAAACAAGCACCATTGCACCTTTATTGCATAAAAAGAATGCCATTTCAAAGATATTAAGTATCTATGTTGCACTATTATGCCTTTGATGATAAATAAGAATGCACCATATGCCAAGAAGTTAAGTTTATAT